CTAAGACTTTGTTTCTGCTGGCACAGCACTTGATCAATGTAATTCTCATCAACCAGTTAAAGAGCTTTCCAAAATGGAAAAAAAAGTTTTTACACTCTGCAAACCTCCCCAAAACAGCCCATTTTTTGCTCATTTCTGCCCTCCCCAGCCCCCAGGAGCTCTCTGAAAGCCTCCATAAGGATTTGCATGGCCATTTTGGTGAAGGTGGCGGGGCTTTGGGAGGCAAAAAATGCTGTATTCAGTGTATAAGACGCACTCAGATTTTCAGCCTCTTTTTTGAGGAAAGTCTTATAGTCTGAAAAATACGGTACTTCTTTGTTAAACCTGGTTAACCATGTTCTTCACTTTGATTATAATTCTTATTAAAATGCTCTAAGCAAATAAATAATTCAAGCATAAAGGAAAGTACAGTTGTGCTCTACTCTTCTGCCTGCATCTATGCAGCTTTGTTAGCTGAAGTAAATGTTGGACACAATTTTCTGGTTATTCTTCAATAGATGGAATTATTCAAAGAAATTCAGATTGGATCTATGATATATTCATTTTCAGGACACAACTTTTTTGATATTAAATCCCTTTTAAGGATAAAAGGCAATTTAGAACTTCATTTTCCTATTTAGCTATAGTGTTATACATTTCGAGCTGGATGCAAGTTCATATAAAAACTATTTACTTGCAAGGAGCAATAAATAAGCAGAATGCTTTCTCGTTTTACAGCTGAGAAAACCCACAACTCAAATACGTGTATTCCAAATTATTTGAAACTTTCATTACCTGGAGGCAATTTGTAAAAGTTATCATCTTATACACTTTGTGTTGTGCCTAACCCTGGGCTCCAGCTACACTCTCAACACAACAAAAAAATTTTAAAAAATCTGAACATATCAGCACAGGCAAAAATGAGGTTCTGAAAGGACTACTGGTACAGCATTCTAATACTGTTTAGGACTGAAACAATGAACACAAAAAAGTGTGTTCTGTGTCGAGGTACACACCTCTTCGTCTGAACTGTCACTCAGGTCATTTTCAAGTGAAGCAGTCAAGGAGGCCGCCTTGGGCTCCAGGTAGCAGAGGCACATAGCCAAGGGAAAGGAGAGAGTGAGAGCATAGGGTACAGAGAAAGAAGCAGAAAGCAAAAAGAAAAAGATGAAAAGGAAACAAGGCACGAGGGAAGGTGAGCGAATGGGAAGGAAATGCTGCACACTTTGTGGCAGGATGTTTGTTTCAGACAGATTTGGAAAGGATAAGTAGCCATCGTCATCCAGGAGAGAAGGGAATGATTCTGGAAGTTGCAAGGAGAAGGAAAATAATGTTCCACCTTTTCTGGCCTTTTGCTTATAATTAAATGCCATATCATGTTCAATAGAATAAGCTCTTCCTTTTCTGCTCAAGTTCAAATCTGTCTCATCGTGCTTTTCACTGGTGTTTTTTAATGATTCACCATCTAATATTTTTTTATTATTCTCCTTACACCTCCTCCTATGGAGTTCTGTTGAAGATGCAAAGGGACCAGTTGGTGAGGATGGCAAGGGGGTTAATGAATCAATGCCAGGCAAAAGTGGCTGATGAAAGAAAAGATAGCAAGTGCAAGAGCAAAAGGACAAAAAGAAAATTATAATTGGTTAATTTCCTCTGTATATAAAAGTTAATTGCATAAAGTTAAAAGAACAAGTTTAATTGAATTAATTATACCAATTTCCATGCTGTATTCTACGAGGGCAGCCAGATGCAAAGTCAACTTATCTGTTGAAATACATTATTAATTATCTTATTTTAAAAAGTTCAACATACACATTTAATTGCTGCATTAAGTTTCCAAACTAGAAATTCTCGAATTGAAAGGCTTAAAATCACCCTTCAAAGGAAGGAAACTATATAGACTATATGCTTTTTTGGTATTAACACGTACACCATTCCTTTTTAGCTCATTGTACCTTCCTCTTTGGCATTCCAAAGATACAATGTGGCATTTTAAAAAAAAACAAAAAAACAGGAATCCTACACAGTTGGTCATTCTCTGAATCCACAACTGTAAATCTGTGGTTCACCACTCATTCTGCCATCATTTTCCCAATTTGATCACCACTGTAAATGGATAAGGAAACGGAAGAGGACAATGATACGAACAAGTGAAATGGAAAGTAATACTTCACCATGTCAAGTTTATTTTCCAAAAAAGGATTTCTTTCTTTGTGACATTCTGAGTCTTTAACCAGAAATTCCTGTAATTCCCTACGTGTTTTGGATATAAAGCTTTGTGTTACAAATTTCTATAAGATTTTGAACACAGAAGTGTGTCTATAGTAATACAATATATTGCCGTAATGAAAACAAAAGCGACTCCATTCTCTATTACAAATTTAATTAAGACCTCTTACTAAAATCAAACCACTAATTAAACAAAAAGTTAGCAAAAATTATTTAGGATTTTCAAAATAAAAAACTAAGGAAGGAAATCTTCTTCCACGGCCTATTGACAATCACCCATGTTTACTGTTACAGAATGTTGAATATTAGAGAAAAATGAATAAATGAAGGTTAAGAATGAATTGTAGTGTCCTTGATAGCTAACTCAAAAAAAGGACTTAGATTGCAAAAAATTCCTTTGGTTCTAAACAAGACCTACCTGAAAAATAAGAAGCTATGCCTTATAAAAATGAATTTACATCAAAGTATATCTTATTGCAATAGATCTGCTTCCAGATAAGACTGTATAGTAAATAATACAGGATGTTTTCTTTTACCTGAATGCCAGAATTTTCTTACTAATAGGCTGTATTCATCGGTGTCTGAATCTCTCAAATTATGCTTAAATTCAGACACGTACAATATCTGACATAAAAATTGTTAATGAAAGATAATATTCACTGCTAGCATAATAATCACTGTTAGCAGTAGAACAGGAATTCTACATAAACGTAGCAATTTGTACTTGCTCCTTGAATACTGACAATTATTTTAATTCCTAATTTATTTTTCTGAAACAGGAGCTGGATATTAAAGAACAAATATTTTCAAAATTTCCATCCATGGGGAATGCTTTTGGTCTACTGAATAAGGCACCAGGCTGAAAACCAGGAAATCAGGAGTTCTACTCCCATCTTAAGAAAGCCAGTTGGGTGATCTTGGAATGGTCATTCTCATCCCAGCCATCCCAGTCCACATGGTTGATACTGTGGGGAAAATAGGGGGAGGAAGGTGTATTGGATAAGTATGCTGCCTTAAGTCATTTGTTCAAAATAATTATGAAGGAATATAAATAAATAAATAAATAAACAAAAATTAAAAAGAAATCTTATGCATTATAGAGAATTTCAAGAGGCCTTCTCAACCAGGACTATCGATGCTGACCATAAAATCTAGCTGAACAATAGCAAATATTTTCTGTCTCTTTGTTGCTGTATCATTTAGATTTATTCTTCCTGGATTGTCTTTGATTTATCAAGGTTACTAATCATGTCATAAATTATATTTGTTGACTAATTTATAAATGGAATTCCAAGTTTGGGTTAGCAATTTAAAAATTCTAAATGACTTGGGACTTTTAGAAAAATGGACATTTTTTTAAAAAATGTCGATAAAAACCCAACAGTCTTTTAGGGTAAGTTGCTCCATTTGACTACAAAGCACTGATCTAAGAAATATGTACAAACACGTGTCTCAGTAAAATACTGTCTATAACAACACCCTTTCCCAAGAAATTATGTTTATCTTGTTCATATGTATATTCCACAAAATAGAAATTTCAGCAAATGCTTTACTGTATTAGCATTACCCACTGCCAGATTTTTGCTGCTTCAAGTACTGTGAACATTTATAATGATGGATTATTGTTGTTAATGGTTTTATATTTTGCAAATTATGAGAGCAATTCCTTTGCGGAAGACAAAAGTTAGAAACTAAATATTTAAATATTTAAGTAATCCTACACATCCAATTCTCCAGAAAAAGTGTTATGGGAGGTTAGATATAAATTGATCAAACAGATTTTCAGATAAGTTGTCCATTGCAATTGATCTTCTAATTAAAAATCCCTAACATCTTCCAATAACATTCGAGAACTCCTCTCAATAGAACAAAAACATATGAATAGTATAAAGAAATAATGCTCATTGACTACAACGCATGTAGTATTTCTGAAGAAGTTTAAGCTGTGCATCCTGTTACAGAGGAACTGATGATTGGTGGCTCTCCAGATGTTGCAATTATAGTATACTTCACTATTGATTATGTTGGCTAGGTCTTCTAAGAGTTGATTCAACAATATTTGGAAGATAAACATTGTCTATGCTGTTGTAATGGACATTCTGGACACCAGTTGCAGAAGAACAGAAACTGAAACTAGTGAGCAGTGTGGGCCTTGTCCAAAATTTATATATGTTTTGATACAGTGACACTTGAAGATATCTGCAGTTATATAAAACCAATCGTAGACTGGGTCCTAAAATGGAAGATATAAATCCCTATTGATATAGGAAAATATTTACTTCCCAGTTTCTTACTACTTATCTTCATATATTTTTCTCTAAACCTCTTTTCTCGTATTATTCAATCTGTTAATAATATAGGCATAATTACTACATTGTGGTATCTATTTATTGCAAAAGGTGAATATCTTAAGCACTTTTATTTAAAGTTCTATATTCCAGCACAATGCTAGTAATAATTTTTTTTTAAAAACCAAATGATTTTTTCAAATCATGGTTGACAAAAAAAAATTGAATAAACATTTGAAGAAAAATGTAATCCCTAGAATATACCATATTTCCTGCATATTATCACTTAGTGAACTTTAATTGCAAAAAAAAAATTAAAGGAGCAATCAATTGGACATGAAAAGTATTGTTATGGCAAGACAGTTCTTGCAATGTAGATTACAACTATAAATGTGACTCTTCATTTTTCACCAATAATCCAGTGTTTCTTATTTTGGCAATTTTAAGTTATCTGGACTTCGACCCCAGAATTCCCCAACAATACATCTTGAAGTTGCTAAGGTTGAGAAACACTGCTATAATTGAATGACAAATGCAACACTGAATAAATTTTTCTGCTTATTTTAATATTTTCCTGTATTTAGAGATGAAAAGTCCTTTTAGCAACTGAATATGTTTTTAAAGTGTGAATTCATACATTTTGGGATGATATTGCAACATGAGCCTATCTACTATCTAATAACCAAAGTAATACCTGTAATAATGTATACCTATCCAGCAGTCTATCCCACCTAGGCACTTGAATTTAACTTCTTCAATTCTCAGCTTTTACCTATGATGATTGGGAATTGTGGGAGTTCCAGTTTGGAAGGATAACATTTTGTGGGGAAATCTGTCCTGTGTCAACATCGCAGTCACAAAAGATGCCTATTTCAAGCTGCGTTGCTGTAGAGAGAGTGTATTCCAACTATATCTGGGGTATGCTGCAAAACTACTGGAAAACAATGGTTGTGAGAGAAATATATAACAAGCAGGATTATGGAAAAGTAAATCTGTATATCTTTATAAAAGCATGTTGAAACACAGTGGGTACCTAATGCCTTGAATTCTTGGACTCAAATGTCTACACTGAGTGGATTCACATCCCAAACCTTGATAAACATTGATTTTATTGTACTAAGTAATAAAGGTATATTGACTCCTATATATGTGTCTATAAAATATGTGACATACTATATAAGGATCTGGGATTAAGGCTAGTTTTTCTAGCCATAGCTGTTCATTCTGTACAATATTATAGGCAACTTTTTTGATAATAGGAGACCTGGAATTAACATGATCTGGATTTAAAACTAATTTCACATGAATTATGACAATAACGTAGAAACAGAATGTCAAAACGTACAATGATATGCTCTCTAGTTTAATTTATACTAGAAATACTGATTCTAAGATCAGGAAAAAAGGAAGTTAGCATTCTTATAATGACAAATTATTCAAAGGCAATTCAAAAAGTCAAATAAAATGCAGTAATCCATGAAAAGAGTTATTTACATTGTAGAGTATGTAGCACATTCAAAAGTGAAATATGTTCTCTATATAAAACTAAATTGCCACTGTTCATCTTAAAATTGTCAGAAAAAAAGCTACTGTACAGCATCACAAATTATTTATTACTAAATACTGGTGATTTGCCACTACTTTCTTATGCTTTCTGTCACCAAAACTGTGTGGCATTTCTAATACTGCTTAGTTGATAGAATTAAAGTAAAAACGTAAAACTATACCTTAGTATCGTGCCGTATCGCTGAAACTGGAGTGCCTTCCTCTTCTTTCTTTTTTAGCTCTTCGTCATCTTTCTCTTCTTCTGCTTTCTTCTCTGGGGTTACGGTAGTTATCAAGTTTGTTTGAGAGATGCCCTTTGTTGTAGTGTACTGGCCAGTACCAACCTCTGCAGCAGACATAGAATCCTTCATGTACATTTCATGGTTTTCATTCACTGATGCTAAAAGCAAATGCAATGTGAAGAGGTGAAATCTTAAACAGATGATTCATTAGGCTAAGTAAAACTACATTATGGATTAATTATTTAATTCTGTGCATGCTTACCCCAAATGTAAATCTCATTAAATTGAATGGGATTTATGCCCAGGCAAGTGAGCACAGGCTTGCAGCATTAAGCAGTCTGCCAGTGAAATGTAGTCTAAAACATGCAGAAACATAAATACTAAACACCTATATAAAACAAGAAAATTAATATGCATGTATGTGTATGTATATGCATATACAGATATTGTATTAAAACTTGATATATATTCACATGCATGCAGATACTTTTAAACCCAGAATCTTCTTTTCTAAAGTTTGTCCTAGGATAGTTTGAAAATAATGAAATTATCTGAGCACACTGCACTACACTTATGTGAAGAACCTAATATAATTAATATATACTGCTTGAAAGTAATTTCTTAAAAAGTAATTAGCAACCAGAGGCAATTAATCAGAGTTATCTCAAAATGCAAGATACTAATGAGCTTGACATATAGATCCAAAGAAGTATCACTAATACACTGGAAAGAAAAAAAAGTTTTTGAAGAGTAGTTTAAAAAGTAATTTACAGAAAGGGGAAAAAATATGGCCATTTCACCAACACTATTATACCAACTTGAATCACACTAAAATATACAAGGCATATATTAGGGCTGTACAAAACAAAGAGATGTTTTACAATAGGCAGGAGCAATTATAAAACAGGACCTCTGTATGTGCTGCCAAATCTTGCAAAATAGTTCTTCCAAATGCTTTGCACACATAAATGCAACAGCATTATTTTGTAATAATATACAAGTAGTCTTCAATTTACAACCACAATTGGGACAAGAATGGCCAATTGGCTAAGCAAGATGGTTCAGTGAAACACACTCAATATTATGACCTTTTCTGCTGCAGTTGTTAAGTGCATCACTGCAGTTGTTAATTGATTCATATAGTCATTAAGTGAATCTGGCCTCCCCATTGCCTGCTTATCAAAAGCCAGCTGAGAAGACAGAAAATGAGGACCGGTTGAACTAGAGATGCTACAACCACCATAAACAGTTGCCAAGCACCCGAATTTTGATTGTTTGTAAAAAGTTCCCGCCACTATTTTTAATTAGTTGATCTATGAGAGGCCATCCTTCCTACGTTTTTCTTTGACCATTAAGGTACTGAGGGCTTCTGCCTCTTTTGATTGTTTCCTCAGCAGCATCTCTTCCACTCATTCCCTAAGGTCATTCACAGATTCCATTTCAATAGCAGCAATTCCATCTACTCCCTAGAGCCCAACTTGACAAGCAGACCGTAACACCTGAATAACTGCAAAGCAGCATTTCTGATAGTGGCATGTATCTCCCATATGACAATAGACAGGATCTATTCATGTTATCACAGACAAATCACTTTCCTTCATTTTTAGACGGGCAAATTCTGTGAAGCTATCTAGAGATGGAGAAATGTATAAAATGGACTATCTAGATATCTAATATGCCTAGATGGATTTTCTGCTTCATTTGTCAGCTGTACTAGGTGATTGATATTATTGCTCAAACTGCCCTTTATTTCCAGCCTACCTAAACTGAAGGGTTTATATCAGAGTTTATGAGAATTTTTTTTAAAATAACAGGTTCTGTGGCTGGAAAAAGTTTGGAATCCCTTCCACTAGAACCATGATGGTGAACATTTGGCACGCGGAGCCATTTGTTAGGGCACGTGAGAAGCTACCCTGTCAGCTGGACAGTGCGCATGCACGCTAGCTAGCTACCTTCGGCCTTCTTTTGAGGCTGTTTTTTGCACTCTGGAGGCTTCAGGAGGTTTTCCCGAAGGCTCCGGAGGGGAAAAACCAGCACTCTGAGCAAACCGGCCCTACAGAGCCTTCAGGGAAGTTCCTGAGGCCTCCGGAGAGCGTCCGGGGAAGCGGTGTCAGGAAGGGTGTTTTTGTCTTCCCCGGGCTGTGTGTGTATGTGTCACATGCATAGCATTATGGGTATGGTACGCCCACTCATGACCCCCCTGCACTCCCACTGCTTTTGGCACGGGAGCCAAAAAAGGTTCGCCATCACTGCACTAGAACATATCTGACAGATGGCCATCCAGCTTCTATTTCAACTCTTCTAGGAAAGTGTCTATGGAGATTCTCAGTCATCCACGTTATGGTTATGGTACCAAAGGTGTTTTTCCCCCCAAAAGGCAACTGGATTTTGTCCTTCCTTGAAGACATTCTGCTTCTCATTCAAGAAACTTCTTGAGTTCTGGTGAAGCTTCTTTGATGAGACACAAAACGTCTTCAAGGAAAAACAAAGTCCAGTTGCCTTTTGGGAAAAAAAGCACCTTTGGTTCTTCTAGGAAAAGAAAACCCAGCACATCCTTTGGCAACCTGTCTTATTAACTGACAGATCATATTCCTGCTGACATCTAGCCTGGGCTTCCTTCCTTGTGATTTTAACCTGGTTCCCCCTTCTGAGAATAAATCTATTCCCTCTTCTATGTGACAACCTTCAGAGATTTAGACATAACTACCATAATTTTCCTTCCTTTAAATATCCAGATCCTTTCACCATTTATTCCTCAGAGAGCTTGGATTAAGAGTTCTTATTTTATATAACTTATCTTCATCATTTTTAAGGAAATAAAGTATGCATGCATATGATGAAAATTAGCTCTCTATCATTATGCAAGACTTCTGCTCATACAAGAATGACTTTTCCATTCCTTTTTAATCTTCCAGGATGCCTCCTGAATTTTCCAGAACAGATTTATAAGATTTGGGCAAAATAAGCTGCAAAGGACAGGTAGAATTCAATCTGCCATCAGAAGGATGACTTTGGAAATAATTTCAATACTTCAACTGAGATGTTCTTTTCTGGCCTATGAAACAGGTGCAACTGGCTTTATTACGTACAAATCAGTTAGGACTTATATGGAATAAAAAAAAACTTTAAAAATCGGTATTAAGAGATGAAAGCTAGCACAAAATACTCTGCACAGTATTTTGTATTATATAATAAAATGGAAGCATAATGAATCTGCATATGGAAAAACAAAAATGAACATAAATGAATATTTTTTTTACATTTACAAGTAGTAAGCTTAATGAATTCAAAGTATTATCAATTAGTACTTTTGTTCAATAAATCCAACTTTGATTATACATTAAGTCATTTGGAGTTCATTGGAAGAAAATCAGATAAAACAATGGAGCTGGAAAAAGCCACTTAGACCAATGACCCCCCAACTTGTGTTCTGAGTAACAGTATTTCCCAATTCATAGGTGGGGATCTGCAGCAGGATCACATAGCAATAAATGAAGAGCTGCTGAAGAGTGCAAATTCATTCCCAGCAAGTTTATCAGTTTGATGCAAAATTATGTGGAATTCCAAGGAAAGTTACAGTTCCAGAACCATTAATGAAGCCCTTATGTCATTTTTTTGTATTTTTAACACAACACATCTGCCTTTCAAAGGAAGAATATCATGCCTGGAAGGGACATGGTTTCTAAGCAAAGCTTTGACTCTCAGTCTGCAACAGAGTGGAAGAGAGAACTGAAATTGCAAGAATGGGAAAAGGACTTTCTAACCATCAGGCTGGAAGGGAAAAAAAGGAGATGAGAGACAACTGTTATCTTGGTGCAGGCTATACACCAAAAGTAACTTCTAACCTGCTAATGTTTTGCAAAATGCAACATTTTAACGTAAGTGGGAAAGAAATAATACACCTTTCTTTCAGTGAATAAGAGTGGGTACTTCAAAATAAAATTCAGATTTCAGGAAATATGCCAAAACAAGCAAGTTCATCCTTTCCTTTTAATACATGGCCTCCAGGTGCAGGGCAGAATGGCCTTGACTCTTGGAGAAAGGAAAATTTATTGGACAAAAGGTCCAATCAAATAATCCATGTGTTAGGTTCCAAGTAATAACTGGAACCCTGACATATGGATTATTTGATTGGACCTTTTGTTGCTAATTTCCAAAGTTGTAAGTTCTATCATTGTTTTATTACAATGGCTGAACTTTAATTATTAATATGGTGTATATATTTCTGGCTCAACCACATTTTTATTCATAGTAAATGGAGTCACATAAATTCAATTTTAGGGGATCATGTACTTGCAGTTGGAAATCCCATATAGTACAAAAACCCAAATTACTACGTTTAGTAATAAAAAAGAGATGTAATGAGTCATTCAGATGACTCAATATTTTCAGGATGATGTCTGTTCAGTTTCTGCTAAACCCTTTAGCTCTCTTGGCTAAATGCGGTAGCTGCTCTTTATTGTCATCAGGGCAAGTATATGTACTGTATACCAATTTGTAACAGATCTTGAATAATAATTTGGATAGTATGTAATAAACAATAGTACCAGATTTTTACCCTATTGGTCATTTGTATGAATGTATGATAACTAGCTTATTATCTTGGCCAAAAATATTTTTGAAATGCAAAGAATAAGAACAGATAAACTGATCATTTTTGATTTTCCGTGACGTGTCCTTTTTCACATGTAGTTTTATATTACCTTTGATGTTTTTCATAAAATCCACATGAAAATCTGCACCAATTGAACTCTTTCTTTTAACATACATTTGTAGGCATATTTGCCTAATTTGTATCAATTATTTTCTCTAATGTAATGCCTTTTTGATATTATTCATTCACATATGGTGATTTATAGAAGAAATGTATGTAGCGTAGGGCTGAACTGTGGAGTCCTTAGGTGCTTTTGGAGCATGATTGTTTGCTTGCAGATGTTTCATTGCCCAACTAGGTAACATCATTAGTGCTAGTGAATATGATATTTGTCTCTATTTATATACAGATAGTTCTCAACTTACAACCACAATTGAGCCCAAAAATTCTGTTGCTAAGCAAGGCAGTTGTTAAATGAGTTGTGTCTCATTTTATAACCTTTTTTTGCCATAACTGTTAAACTAATTTCTGCAGCTAAAGTAATTATGTAGTCTTTAAGTGAATCTGGCTCCCCCACCCCCCCACCCCCATTGACTTTGCTTATCGAAAGCTATCTGGGGAGATTACAAATGGTAGTCATATGACCCCAGGACATAAACTATAAGTATCATAAACACATACTGTTTGCCAAACATCCAAATTTTGATCGCATGCCCATGGGAATGCTGCAACGGTTAAGCTTGAAAAAGTCATAATTCAGCAGCACATAATTCAGTGTAGTTGTAACTTGAATGGTAACTAAATGAACAGTTGTAAGTTGAGGACTACCTGTACAATAGTTTGCTTTGCCAGAGCTGGTGGATGTTTCATTTTCTCCTTGATAGTTTCTTGCTTGTTTCTTTGTCTGGTGTTAATCCCTGTTTATCTGGATACTAGCTGATGGACAGGAATCATTCATATTTTCTTATTTTGTTCCCTTCTTTTGAATAGCATGTAAATGTGGTTTATCTATATGTATCTATCAATGGCTGAATGCCAAACTTTCAGTAATACCTTAGGGTTTTGGATTTTGTAGTCATCTGAATAATGTAAACTTCACCGACACTGGCAGGGCAAACTACTGTATATAAACATGGAGCAAACCTGATGATGTTATCTAGTCGGGCAATGAAATGTCAGCAAGCAAATATCTAAGCTCAAAGAGCACCAATGACTCCACAGAGTGATTTATTTTTGTGAATACTGGAACTATATCATAAAGTTTGGAAAAACACAAATAACCATAGCATGACTAGATTCAGTTTACTTATTGTGTCAGTCATTATAAGCTGAGTGCATTTACCATCCTAGCAATGATAGCTATAGCGCCCTAAAAAAAAGCACAGAAAAGGTAAAAATTCAGTAGCAGGAAGAACAGCTAAAGAAATAAATGTGGAACACTGAAGTTTTAGTCTTCCACAGCGTATGAACTGCCACATGAATAAGCCAGAAGAAAGCAAAAGGGAAAGTTTAATGGGCATATCATAATAAATGACATTTCATGCACATACTTACATGTGTAATCCAAAGAAGCTCAGGGGACATGAGATTACAAGAAACTTGAATCTGTCCTCTAATGCAATGTTTTATTTAAAAAAGAAAATGAGACAAAGCTCCAAGTAAGGATTATTAAGAATATCTTACCCCCGTCTAGGCTGCGAGACATTGTGTAGCGTTTACTTGAGGAACGTTCAAAGTAAGGTGCAGGGCGATCAATCAGTGCACTCGCTCTTCTTGTCTGGGCTTGTGTCCTTCCACTGTAGCGAAACTTAGAACCTAGTGTGAGGAATTTTTTTGGAGGAGCTTCTGGTAGCAAGAGTCTAGAATATATCACACATGAAACATTACAAATGACTAGTTTTCTAAACTGAAATAAAAGATTGTGTTTTTAAAACTATTTTTAAATAGTTCTAAAATTCTTGAAGGGATGTGATATTTAGTATCACTTTAAGCCATATTAAAAATGCAGTGCATAGCAAAAACTGTTGTCAATTAGCAATTATAAAATGGTGCATGAAATATTTCAAGCTTTAATGTGCTTGTAAGATGGAGTTATTCCTTTAATGAACACAGCAATATTTGCAAAGAGAATAAGTGAGGTTTTTTAAAACTACAATGTTATATTCTAATCAGTCTGGATTTGTTCCAGATATATAAGAAACAACATCAGACATATTCTGAGTGTAAAGGTAAAAAGGTAAAGGAGTCCCTGCGTATTTTTACTCTCCTAGTCATTGCTGACTATAGAGGGCAGTGTTCATCTCCATTTCAAGACCAGAATAATAATATTCTGAGGGTACTGATAAGGTTGTTTTTTTGTTTTGTTTTAAATGGACTGGCAGTCACAAGCTGTAAATAGTATTATCATGCCACTTGTTTAACATGGACTCTAGAGTGAATTATATCTTCTTACAGCCTAGCTATCTATTCCCAAATGGTCTGCATAAATATATATTTTTGTTGATACCAACATAAACTAATGGTCTATAAGAGATCATGAAATAATAAATAATGAGCTGAACATCTGAGATAAATGTTGGGGTTAAAAATAAGGTCTATTTTCTCTACTCTTGATTCACTATTATTTCAACAAAATACAAAAACTATTAAATAATTCACTCAGTGCAGAATTAATAATTTGTGTAGCTAGCTGTAAATTTATATAGTAATAAAGCTCTCTTTCCTGTAACCTTTAACTGGGTAAAACAGTGGACCTGTTTGAACAAAGATATCTCCAATGGGCTAACTTACAGAATGAGTCCAAAATCTGTGGGATCCAGATTAAGGGATTAACTAAGGCTTCCTTAAACTAACCCTCCTGCATCAATATATTATGGCTGCTGGACTCACTGGCAAATAACCCTCCTGGAGGCTTTTACTAATTAGGAAGGGCAAGAATCTAATGAATAAGAAGCTGCACTAACAGAACCACAATCCCGTCCACTTCAACAGAGTCAAACTGCTCCTAGATAACTGGGTACATCCCCTCTCCCTGGGCGAGGAACCTGCTCCACGCTTGGATTCCAAATGATTTTATCCATCAGGTGCTTGACAAATTCTCCCACATGGTCCTGTAAATGTTCTTATGAGCCCTCCCTTCCCTAGGGAGGGACTGGATGACTTTAAACAGAGTTATTGGGCGGCACTTTGCAGACACAATAAGAGCAAAGAAAGACTTGCATTACCGCCACAAGATAGGCGTTAATGATCTGTAATCGGACAGATTTGTTTGTTTTCCTCCAGTGATTTTCTAGCAGTCTCTTGGCCCTTTTCAACACCCTCAATTCCTCCACGAATCACAGAGAGCATTGGGAGTGATGGGCACAGACATGCTACTGTCCAGGATTCTGGCCACCTTCTGGTTCCAGGCTGTAGTCAGAATTCCACAGGACCACGCAGCTCCTGGGTCATGCTCTAGCTTCCTCGACTAGTCACTGAAGATGAAACATTCCAATAGGTTTGGCCTCCTTGTGGAAGAGGGCAGCACTGGAAAATCTCAAGGACAGCAGGGCATGGTCTGACCATGACAGAGGAGATAATGATAAAGTCTCCACAAGATGACATTATCACTGTTGTGACAAAAAGATCATGGTGTACCTACTTTCCCAGGTCAGGCAACGGATGACTTGGGATAGGTCCATGGCCTTCAAACCTATGAATTTGTTATCATATGCTTTTTACTGGAAAGATTGTTTGATCTCTTCAATAGAAGAATGGCTCACTAAGTTGTAAGAGTATGCTTTAATGCCTAGAATAAATCTGCATCTGAGGTACCAATTGGTTCAAACCGGGAAGCATTCCTGGTGTGTAACTTGATACATGGATTTGTAGCACATCCAACATGTGAAGTTTTGTATGTATGTATGTATGTATGTATGTATGTATGTATGTATGTATATATATGTATGTCAAAAACAGGACAGATGTTTACTAACATGGCTTTCAACTATAGTTTTGAGAATTTACTAACATTTTGTGAAGAATATGTCTGGTGTGTATTATATTTTTAAGTGTGCAGCACTGATCAGAGATCAAGAAGAATGTTATATCAGTATAAATTGACATATAAATTTATTCTTATTACACTGTGACAAACTTTGAAGTAATCCATTAAAAAGGACTATGTACCTGAAAAATGTATGATGTTCAACACATACTTTCCATAGACGTTTTGCAGCACGATGATTTGGTAATTTAAATCCGATTGTACTTTCAAATTGCTCAAACTAGGAAAGAAAAAAAAAGAAGGTTCACAGACATCAACATATTTTGTTTTAACCTTAATTAAATAAAGTAACTTTACTGTATGGTTCTTCCTTTTACTTTTAACAATCTTAATCTTTACATCAATCAAATACTGTAGGTTTTGATTTCTCTTCATTTCTTTTTAGTCCTATTACACAAAATTCTCCCAGGCTTTAACATGCCTCTTTTGTAAATCCTGTAAGAAAAAAGTGTTTAGGTCATTTTCTTGATTTACCATGTGGTTCCTTTTCAAATTTTAAAACAGCAGCCAATTTCTTTTGTAAATTCAATGAAACGTCATTTCCCAAGTCATTGACCTGGCCTATCAGTTGTAAATCTATTTTTGATATCATCTCTATCTTATAAAATAAAATTTGCTCTATATCCTTCATTTGTTCAATAACAATTTAACCTGGCTTCTGTTTAGAAATTGCTTCCAGATTTATTTATTAAATAAATAAATGCCAACATAAGCTGTCTCTTTAAAGGAAGTTAGAGGTTTAGCTTTCTACTATACAATAGATTCATACGGGTGTTCTCCCTATCCTCCATTATAAAAACCCAAAGAGTGATGGAGAAGTGATTTCCATTGGGAGAAACAAGGATTTATTGCTAGTATCTGTAATTAGGGTAGCAATATGGGTTGTAAGCACTGCACTGCCATAGTAAACTAAAATAATAACATTTAAATTAACAGCAGACAAACTGACAACAGATAAGTAAATATAGTGTGTTGGATACTATATTATAAATCTTTGTTTTTGCAGAAAACAGAAAGGAATTACAGCAATAGTACACAGGAAAAGAAAGAAGCTGAAAAGTTATGTTTCAAAATATTTCAAGGCTGAAACTATTTGCCTAATATATAATAAATTACACTGCATTAATTTCTAAAGTAAAATTCTTTACCTAGACATATGTAAAGTAAAATTCAATACATAGATATATGAAACAGGACAAAGCTCTAATATAGTGTTTTGTTTAAAATGAATGGTTCCCGTCCCCGCCCCCTTTTATATGTAATATTCGAGTATTTTTTATAGTGAGTAAAATATCAAAACTAGAAAAAGTGTTTTCTCTCTCCAGGCTGAAAAAAAAATCAAATTGAATTGGGGAGCCAAGGTGGCGCAGTGGTTAAATGCAGCACTGCAGGCTACTGCTAGATCAGCAGGTCAGCGGTTCAAATCTCACCGGCTCAGGGTTGACTCAGCCTTCCATCCTTCCGAGGTGGGTAAAATGAGGACCCAGATTGTTGGGGGCAATATGCTGACTCTCTGTAAACCGCTTAGAGAGGCCTGAAAGGCCTATGAAGCGGTATATAAGTCTACTGCTATTGCTATTGCTATTGATTCCCTTAATATAAATTATGATAAAGATTAATAAGTAAACAGAAGCAAATATTATTCCCCACAGCAAGGAAAAAATAGAGATGGTCAAATTGATTCTTTTATCTAAAGAAGAGAATATATCTAACCTTGTTTCTGTGTAGAAATTTCTTCCAGATTTTGTGTTTGCAATGAAAAAAAATGAAACCTTGATTTTGTTTTTGCTAATTAGATAATTGTAATTAACAACAATTCTGTAATTGTTGTTACAGAAATGGCTAATATATACTGTTGTGTACAACTAAATAGTTGAGGTTGTAATGTTATCTTGTACAGTGCTAAAGACAGTTGGAAGCCGGTGCCTTTTTCTTTCCTTTTCCCTCTTCCTTTATATATTTTTTTCCTTTTTCCTCCCCCTCCTAGTTTTCTATTACTTTTTTCAAATTATTATTTAGTATTTTGATAAACTAATAAAATGTGAAACAAGGGAAACATGAAACATGACAAGCAATTTCATTCAATTTTACTTACTTCTCCTGGTCGTATTTTGATGTAGAAGTTATTCCTCTTATATGAAATTTTGAGAACCTTAGGCCAAGCAAATCTGTTTATTCTGAGTCTGTCTCGATAAATCAAGAGACCACTTGCACAAACACCTAACATGATTTCAACTCCTTCAGAATCCTGAAAAAAGATTGGACATTTTTTAAAAATTTAACATCAATTCCAAGGGTCATTTATCAACTATGATATTTCATTTTCATATTTTTTTCATAATTTTAAGAAAGCATATAAAATTATCTCTACAAGCATACAGTGTTAGAAAAACACAATTTACTAAAATGTTATACAATTCTTGGTATTTATGTTCATCAGCTAGGTAGAATAAAGTGACTGTGTGTAAATTAAATATCACATTCTTAATTTAGCGTGTAGTCAAAACATATAGAAAATTCCCAGAGGAAACAAAGTTTTTCTATGTTTAATGAAGAAATCACAATTTGTTTATATAGTGAATAATATGTATTCTTCTTAGGAGACAAAAGCTAATTATTAAATGTAGTAACAAATATTTAAATTATATAAAAGTAATTGTTGAAGTTATTTGTTTTCCTGCTTCCTCTCAACTGCTACTTCCTTTTGGTTATTGGCTAATAAACTACTGTATACTTGGAAGTCAGGGGACAAAAATTGTTATTTTAATATCCCTGCAAAAGAAAACCAAATTTCAATATAGTTCTTATGTTTAATTATGTCTTTAGGCTTATCATGCAGGCCTCAATGATCCCACTTTTGATGTTCATACATTGTTTAGAAAGAAGTAATTATATTACTTTCAAAATTCTTTTGACAACTGAAGTGGTCAAATTTTTTGTTGGAAAGTTATTTGCCCAAAAATGCTTCTGTAACTTATTTGTTAAAGATAAATTAACAGGAGGTGAAAGTTAAGATTGTTTTTCACTCTAAATTTATGCATTTGCCTGCAAATTGTCTAATACCTTTGGAAATCTATTATGCACCTGGATCATTTAAAAAAATATTTTATTCAGAATGATACTGGAACAGTAATACGATCCAAAACTTTTAAACTTCTTATTCAATTATAAATTGACAAAAAATAGCCAGTTTGGTCTAGTAGTTAAGGCAGCAGGCTAGAACCCAAAGACGTTCTAATCCTGATTTAGGCAGGAAGGTTGGCTGTGATGATCTAGATTGTTGGGGGCAATATGCTGACTCTGTAAACCACTTAAAGAGTGTTGTAAAGCACCAAGAAGGAGTATAAGAAGGTACAAAAGACAAAGCTCAATAACAGTACTTTAAAGTGCAAACTACAATATAGATGTTTAGGTAGAGGTTAATATTGGTGGAAAAATAAAAGGGGAAGAAGTGTTACTAAAACTTGTTTTTATGATTTTTAACTTATTATTTATTAGTAATTATTGTTTTTCTTTGTTTATGGTATCATTATTCTTGTTTGAGTTCTGTTTAAATAATCTGTCAAACCGCATGTAAGACTCACTATGCAAAGAGCCAGCTCCCTGAAGAAATTAGTAATGCTGAAAAGGTAGAAGGAAAGAGAAGATGATAACTAAAAGCAAGGTAAATGGACACAATTACAGTGGTAATAAGTAGACCAGTAGCAAACACTAAGGGCCAAACAGGAACAGAACACCTTAGAGAAAGTCTATCTATGATTGCTAAGAACTAACTGAATTATTAGACTGCTGAATACAATATGTACCTTGGCATGATGTAGATCTACTCCATACATAGACAGTTTTTTGGCATTTTCCAGAAAGTGCATCTCTGCTTCTGCAGGTGTCATTCCCCTAATGTTAATCAATATGGGGGAAAAAAACCACATAAGAACAAGTGAAAGTGAAGTTGTTTCATGTGAAAAAAATATTTTCTTCAAAATGTAGGTTCTCCATGCATGCCTGTGCATATGCCAAATTCCATGAGTTGGCACTTTTGCTAAAGCTATGTAATTTGTTGTATCAAAGACGATTGATTTAAGTGGAGGTATTAAGACAGACTATTTTAGCTTTTAAAGCTAAGGCACCTGAATGACTAGAGTCAAGACAACTTGCATAGCAAAGCAGACCAGGACATTCCATAGGCCCATTATTTATAAACATAGTTTCTCTCTGCATGTCTCACCTATGGCTTTTATGAAGCTCTATTACTTTATCTTCCAGTTCTTTAGTATGATTTGGTGCAAAGCGGAATTCACTGACATAGTCACTCCCATATTCATCAGGATCATAGTCTCCAAGCTCTGACTGAACTGTATAGGAGCCTAATAGTGCAAGTGTGACAAAAGAACATGGCAATCGTCCAGACACAATGTCATCTCGCAGCTGCAAGCAGAGATAATACCTGCAACAAATTTATATTTTAAAAAGCATATTAACATTTCTCTATTTAAACAGAAGCATTAAAATTTTATACTGTTCATAAGCAAATACACAATTTATATAAAACACATTGCTACTTTCAACAGTAGACATAAAAAGGAGCAAGAAGAAATACTGGGGACGGACGGACAGACAGACGGAAGCACTTCATACTCCATGAATACATAGACACAATCTGGAAACTAAAATAATTGCTCTATATCCAAAAATATGCAGATTTGCTGAAATGCTGTTTGCAGAAACAGTTTTATTTGTTATACAAGGCACAGCAATATCTAGTAAGCGACAATTTCTATTTTTTTAGTTATTATTAACTAAATTAATAATTGTTTGCAAACGATTTCATCTATTAATGTCAACATTAGTCTATTCTGAAGTTGTTCAATTGAATCTTTTTGAGAATTTTTGCAGTAAAGGGTTCTCCATTAGAAAAGCACAGATAATGAAAGAGAGATGGAGTTAAGGCACCAGGCTAGAAGCTAGGAGAATGTGAGTTCTAGTCCAGCCTTATGCATGAAACTCAGTTTGGTGACCTTGGGCTAATCTCTCTAAATCCAACTCAGGCTGGACTATTAGATATGTTTGTTGCCTTGAGTTATGTGTAAAAGTAATAAAAGTGGGATATAAATAAATAAAATAATGAAACTTACCACAAGCTCTTTACCATACCTTCCAATAATTCCCCATGTAAAGGGTTAAAAACAAGCAAGATTTCCACGTACATACACTTGGAAACACTCATTGCCAAGAAATCTGGGAATTGTGTTTTTTAAAATATATATGGGAAGAGAAATCTATACTTCAAAATTTTTATTGGGGTAATCAAGCCTCAAAAACTGAGATGTGCGATTCCTGAATTCTGCAATAAGGATAAATTTGAGTGACTCTGATAAGCCCCAAGAAGTGAGAGTAAATTTCAACCTCATCCAAGAGTGAATGTTAAAGGAAGTAACAACATCCTAATAAGTATGACAGCTTTTCCATTACTTACCAGCTCAATAACAGAATGACAGAGTTGTCGAAGTTATATATTCTAACCACCTGCTCAGGCAGGTAACGTTATACCTCAATGATTTAAATCAGCTGACCTTATGGCAACAATTTGTTATTAAGCAAATTGTGGTCATAATGATTTTTTAGAAATAATTTCTGCTCAGTTATAATGCATAAACTACCTTGTAATATCTTCAGAAAGTTGGGCAGGATCTGGAGGGTAGAATTTAACATTGAACGAGAAATGCCAAGCACCACCTAAAATAAAACAAAATATTAATGGGATTCTGTGTCTTTGCACTCTCTATAAATATTTACTGAGGTTGATAGTGTTGTTACTTTCAACACTGATGCTTGTTTCTCCTGTTCCTTCTTTAAAATTATCAGAGCCATTTCCATGATATTTCTGAGTTTTATTCAGCAGCCATTAACATTTTAAGTTTCCATAAAACGATGCAGGCAATAGTTAAATAATGAAATAAATATGGAAATAACCACATGGATAATTAGGCATTCAATAGAGCTTCAAAATATGCTTCCATAACCCAGTGAAATACACAACTATATATATAAAACTCATCCATCAGCACTTTTATGAGTGCTACTTTAACATAAATGAAATTGTAAAGAAAAAGAGGGGACATTATTGGACATGCTTATTGATAGGTTAAGAATAATTTGTATAGCATAAGTGGTTTGAATGTTTACATTTCATGTAATGCTTTTTAAGTTTCAATTTCTAAACCATTTCCTACTTTTTTCTTATTATTTGTGATCTAATGACTTCCAAGGTTAACATAGTAAAGTATGTGAAATGTCCCTTGAAGGCAGTCCAAAAGCTTCAAATGATATGGCTGGAATCTTTTCTACCTTGAAAGCCCTCAATAGTATAAAATCAGAACTTCATAAATAATGTTAGCCTATATGAAGTAAATTATGAGCTTTTAAAGATTTCTCCTCTGACTCATTAATTTGTTCACATGCATACACAAGGTACTGCAAGGTACAAAGATTGAGCCAAATGGTCACAATGTCTATAATATTGAATAGTCACTAAGTGATTATTTAGTTCCTTCACTGCATTTTAAAAAACAATAGCTATTTTATTCCAGCAAGATTGCAAAAGTAAAATTTTGAACAAAAGTTAGATTGCTATTTGTAAGCATTACTGAAATGCCCGAAACTGGATTCTTAAAACCAAGTATCTTGTACTTTAAAAGCACTGGTTGTTTTTGGACGTTGACCTAGATGGTTTATGTATTCTTGGGCATGGTCTTGAAAGGGTAGTTTGAATGGCAACACACATTGTTTTACCAATTACAAAATACAGCATGTCAGCTTTGTTTTGTTTAAGGCTGCTGTATGAGCTCTGAATTGTATTTGGAAAGCACTGCTCTGACAGCATCAATCAGGAGGTCTTTTAATCACATTTTAATACTTTCCTTGTTTGCTGCACTTTAGTTTAACTGCACATGCAGTGATGGATATAGATGTTGAAAGTAAGTCAGGTTCTATTATTAAAGCCTTGTGTCACAGGTTCCTTTAGCTATATACAAATGCAGTGGGCTCCCAAACCCCCAGAAGGCCCACACTAGCCTCCTTGGCCTCTAGGCAACCCACACACAAGCAGACCCAATGGGTAGTAGTCCCAGTTCCTTTCCACACTCTTACCAGGTCTACCACTGCTCCTAGTATTAGTAGTAGACTATTCCTACTCTCAGGTTCAGGCTGCTTCGAATTATCTATTTTCAGAGTCACAGAAATTATCTCCTTCCCATAATATGACAGAAGCCATTCCACAGCAACACCCACCATAGCCAGCTGATTTCTCTTTTGCTTTTATAGCTGCTGGGCAACCAGGCTGACTAGGGACAGGTCCTAAAGGGGAAGAGCACCATCAGCCGAGGTGCTAGCCAATTTTCAGACAGCCTGCTCTCTTATACCTTGTTATGTTTCAAGGAACAGGCCTTATGGAAATTCTGAAAGTGTAACATATATTACTTTTGTTCTACAAAGTTTCCATCCTTTAAATCAGGCCTATACCCTATGCTGCCCACCAAGCAATCTTATGTAGCTTGTCAGCGTTTTTTTTTTAAATCAATAAAGTCATAAAGTTTTAATACATCTGCAAAAGGTGTTAAGGGTTGCATAGAAGGAGCCTCTGTAGCCTCTGTCATGCCAAAAAAATAATTACTTTGTTTCTCACAGAAGACTTTTCTTTATAGAAATCTTAACATTTTAAAAGCATCTCTAGTTTCATCATGCAATAAATAAGCCTGTATGAAAACAGAAACTTTATTTTAATTTCCGATAGATAATGCTTACTGCAAAATGCACTTGTTTATGCATATTGCACCAATGAAGACAGATCAAGATGGCTAATATTTTTCCATGGAAGCCTCAAAAGTTGAATTCTACCTGAAGATAACTAACTTACTGAGATAAACACTGATGCTTGTATCTGTACAGTATTCAAACATAGAAAACGCTATTACCTATTTCATTTGATCACCTAGATATTATTCTGTTTAAAATTCTTTTACATTCATAAATACAATCTTAAACCACAAGTATTAATGGCACGGTAGCTCTATATTTAAAGTCCCCTGTTTAATCTTGATAGATTATCTTCACAAATAACAATGTTTAGATGGAAAGTACAAGAAAAAGCTGAAGAAATATAGAAGTTTCTTTAGTGGTACCTTTCTGGTGATAATTTTTTAATTGGATTCTAGATGATAACTTTAAATGACCAATGGACTTCAAAGAAAATTGGTTTTAAAATTGAGAAGCAAGTTAAATATCTGGGCATTCCTCAGACTAGATGAATTGTATATTGCTTCAGAATAACTATGTTAAGTTATGGAATGGTAATAGAAAGGATGCTGGGATGACCAGAACTCCAAGGACTAGTCATAAACGCTATTTGTTCATCCCCATTTTAACTTCACTGAACAAATGGCTGTAGATCAAAAACTACCTATATAACTGCTAATTTGTTAAAATTTCCTTTGCATGATACTGAAAGAATAATCACATCTTTGGCATTTTTTAAAAAAAAGTTTCCAAATAAACAAGCACAAAGGTAGGGTTAAATCACATATTAAGTGCATATACTGTAAAGATATATCATCAACATTGTGTTTCTATACCACTACATATAACTTTGTGTCTACACACGTTCCTACATATAGCACCATAAGTGTTATGCTATTTTTTTTGCAACAAAAGTAAATTTTACAGCACCTTCAAAATTGTGTTATTTATATTGCACAGGTGGTCTTCAATTAATGAGGACAACTGGGTCTGACAGCTTGTCAAAACATGTTTATTAAATGAAACAGCACACGATTGTGCTGAACTTACATTATTTCTGCTGCTGTCATTAAGCAAATCATCCATAGTCATTAAGTGCAACAGACTGCGATCTGTGATTTACTGCAAGCTTCTTCACAGCCTTTCTTTGTCAGAAGCTGTCTATGAAGCTCACATGACCATAAAGACACTGTGACAGTCACAAATTTGAGGACCAGTAAAACTATTTTTTCAATGCTATGGTAAGTTTGAATGGTTGCTAAACAGGGAAACTGTATAAATTTACAGAAATGGGACGTGATTCATAAAACCTAGCATAATAATCTCTCTAGAACTTAATATAGTATAGAGGTTTTGGTACAGTAGTTCTTTTCTTAACTACCACCGTCATATATGCACAATACTGTACTAATCTTGAATAGTGGGTATTTAGGCTAATAATAATAATATCTCATCTTAAATATATTCAAATATTTTATGCAAAGTTTTAAAAATATTCTTAGTTATCTAAATAGCACATGGCTTGGTTATTTGTGATACCTATTGTTTTCCATAGTATCTGCTCAGCCAGTTTGATTCTGTGTAGTTTGTGCAGTTCAGGCTCCTTCAATTAAATACTGTCATCTACTGGAACCCTGGAAATACTTCTCTGTAACAGTGTCTGCCTTCTGAAATGAGGTTCCCCTCACCGATCCAAAATAGTTTCCCCTCTGCTGTTGTTTCAAAGAGTTGTAGCAACCAGACTTTTCTCCCAGGACTTTGGAAATGAGACCGGTCATTGCTCTTGTGATCTTTTATCTTTAATTTCAGCATTTTATTGATTGAGTTGTTGAGAGTTGGGTAGCATACACCATCACCATCACCGTTATTACTGAATTATTATTAAATGGTATTTTTAAAACTGTAGAATCTACCTCTGATAAATGACTGACCAAAACTTACTTCGGATCTGCTTTTTAATTTCCTTAGCTGGATCCAACCAATTCTGAAAAGAAAGATTTTAAATATTTAAATTAGGTGTGCACACACTTTGATAAATCATGTTAAGTAACAAGTACAGTATTAAAATTGAATTAATATGAAACACTTTACAAACTGAGTGAGTGTGGAGCAGGTAAGCCTAGTTAAATGTTTCAATTGAATGGTAAAATCCTGAAGTGCTTAATTACTTTGGTCAAACCACTTTATGGTTTTAACAAAGAACAAGTATAAGAGCTGATATGTCTCCAATTCATATCATAAGACTAAGCAAGTTCCAATTTTCTTAATTCCAGCTTCTTAGCTATAATCTAGATATAGTGATTAATCTTGCAATAATGTTTCATTTTATACTTTAATATTCAAATTATTTTTATAACTACTACAAACCAAGTCGATGGATATACTTATATGCCAGTAATAAAAATGCACTGTAACATCTGAAAATAGCAGAATAGAGGAGAAAGAACTGGAGAAAATAACAAAATATAAAATAAAAGTAGAATGACTGTGGCAAAAGAAGAGAAAGGTAGTACTAATAGTAATAGGTGCCTTGAGTGCAATTCCAAAACATCTGGAACACCACTTGAACACCACTGGCATTGGCAAAATCACCATCAGTCAATTGCAAAAGGCAGCTTTATTTGGAACAGTTTACATCCTATGACAATCAGAAAACAATATCTGCATATCCCAGGTCCTGAAAGATTTGATAGATGGATAAACATATCAAATCCATTCTAAACATGTGGCTGACGGCACAGCCAATCCAGTTCAGACTTTCTGAGTTTACTATAATAAAAGCAGTTGTACGTTCAATCAAATATTGCTTGCAAGTAATTTGGGCATCTGTAAATGTATTTCAGATATTTTTTTCTTTCTTACGTTCCCTCATAAATATTTCAATAATGAATGTTAGGACCAATTTAAAAGAATTATCAAAGTAATGGAAATTTTGAGGGGGGGAATAAAAAAAAGATGAATGAGATGTTACATTAATATTGTATTAATCAGTAACTGTCTGGAAGGCTATACCTTTTTTTAAATTTTCACCTATCTTCAAGAACATACAATAGGACACTAAACGTGTGTTTTCCTTAAGTCTCAAAAACATCAAAACCAGATGTAATAATTGCTTTGAATATTTTAGAGAGTATTACTTAAATTGTTATAGGAGTTTTAATTATTCTTAAGCAAAGCACTGGTCTCATTCTATAGCTGCTTATTCTTGAATTAAATATATTTGACCCCATGCCATCTCATGATTTCCTGCAATAAATGATTAATTTTACCTTCTGGTTTTCCATATCTCTGTAAGTGAGTCCAAAATAATCTTTTTCCAAGAGGTTCAGGTGCTCACATACTTTGTCAAAAAGAATCTGGCCCTTTGAGCGCTTCTAAAATCAGGGGAAAAATTCAGAATAAGTTTTAAGCTATCATATCCTTGAACACCCTACACTTTAAAAAATGTTCTATAAAATGTAGAACTCATTAAGCAATATTAGGCTTAATATATTTTTATTTATTCCAGGGACCACATTTATTTTTCCTTTGGTGGGGCGTATATTTATAATATAAATAGCTTATTCTAGTTATCCCAATTCAAGATGCTGATACACTGCAACAATATTATGAAAATATCTTTATCTTTTCATTTCATTTCTGAAAATGCAATTTAAGTAATATTATGTGTTTACGTCTTAAAACTAAAGTTAGTTTTTAAGTTAAATGTTACATGAAATCATGCTGCTTTACACTTTAATAGCAATATATATTCTTCACAGAGAAATACAATTATGTCCTATATTGCTGGTACACAATATTAACCTCTATCCTCCAATATTTACTCTGATCTTTCTAAGAATCTAATTCAGTAGGCAGAAATTAAAATTATTTTCAAGAACTTACAGTAAGTATGCGAATACAATATAATGTAATAATTAAACAAGAATATGTTTATATAGTTTCCACAGCAAATTTTCCACTCTTAATTTACTTGACTTTGAATAAGATCTATTAAGTAAATATCCGGTTACTGACAACAAATAGGTATCATCACTCCTTTTTACAATGTATTGTAAAAAAGAGGCAGCAGCTACTCTAAAGCCTCTTTTAATTTTTAACTAGCTCTTCTGTTTTTACTTCATCTCATTTTGTTTTCATCTTTTAGTTTTCTTCTGCTGGAGATCTCCCTTTTTATTATTTTTAATGCAGACTGATATTTTTATCATCTCTGCAATTTGTCCAGATGCTGCAAAGCTTACCCAACAAAGGAATGAGGATTTAAAAAACAAAAATAGCAGTACCATAGCAATAGCATTTTAGGCTTATATATACCCGCATGTAGTGGTTTACAGCACTCTCTGAGCAGTTTACAATGTAGAAGGATTATTTGTGCTTTGCTCCCAACATCCTGAGTCCTCATTTTACACACCTCATCAGAGGTGTGCAACCTTGAGTCAACCTTGAGCCCCATCGGGATCAAACTTCATGCTGGCCAGAGTCAGCCTGTAATACTGTACTTTAATTACAGTGCCACCAGTATTACTGACTTCACAACAAGAAAATGCCTACTGATGGCAAAACCACATTATCAAGCTTCTGACTGCAGTTAACAACAAATTGGACACTCTAAAAGAGATTTTTATTAAGCTTAACCACAGGCATCCACTGTGGTCCATTTTCGGTCTCCCTGGCCTCCTGCAGCACTCTGCCAGCCAAAAAAAAGGCCGTGTGGGGCTGATAAAGTGCTGCAGGAGGCCATCCAGGCAGAAAATGGGGCAGCACACTGGGGCCCTGCACCCTGTTTTGTCAGCAGGGTGCTGCAGGAGGCATCCATTCCGTCTCTCACTACCGGCCAGTGAATGAGAACCACAATGCTGATTCAGTCCAGTTTGACACCCCTGATCTAGAGAATAATATGGCCAATCATCTAGACAATAATAAATAAGGCATTTCTTTGTTAGAGGGTTTCCTGCACCCCAGGTATTGAAAATGATTCCACCCCATCCCTAAAGATATTGCCTTAATCCTTTTACTATGTCTAGAAGCCTCAGAATACTTCAGATCTTTACTTCTGTCTTTTAAGGTTTATTTCTGGAACCTCTGTCCATTTTATTGTGGATTTAATTGGGCAAAGGAAAGTCTCTATTTGGCAGTATCAGTTTTGTTCCAAGATTCCTGGAAATTATGATAATGGTCTCTGGGCATCAAGGAAAAGCTGCGCCAATCAAAATGTGCTTGAGGCACACAGCATCAGATCCACCCAGTACCCTGCTGTTTTGGGTACAAAAAGGGCATTCTCTCCTGGTTGGGCTCAAAAATACTGTCAGCTGGAAAGTTAACAATTTGCCAGGGCCCGATGCTGCAAGCCCAGATTTATGAACAGGGTTTCACAGCAGAAACCTATGGAGCATGGCCTCTGAAGGCCAAAAGAGATACCAAGATATCAATCACTACGACCTGTACCCTACCATAAGGCCTTGGCTGGTGCCAGACCCTAAATCCAGCTGCACACATTTCCAGAGAGGAATTCCTCCTCTGGTGTCAGCCATTTTCTCCCTCAGTCATTTCTATACTGTGAAAAGGCAGTGGCTGATTTGCAAAAGGTTGAATGGCTCTCATCCAGATAGATTCTAAATGAACCCTTCTCTCATTGAAACATCCCCATATTGCCAGCATGTCCAAAATGAAGCCTGTTAAGTTTCTCAGTAGATCATGTTCAAAAAGGGAATACCTCAGTCATGTTTGAGTTTCATCACCCAATCCTGCATGCCAGTAGTGTTAGCAAGAAAAACCAGCAATTTGTTGGGCCCATGTGTCCACCCAAATACATTCTGAGCCGGAAAGGTGAAGTAGGGAAAGTACTGTTTATGTGCATAAATACTTGACCACTCAGCCTCCTCTTTCAGGCAATAACTTTTTAATGTTTTACTTGAAACAACAATAAGCAGAATTCATTCATTGGTTACAGTAATTTGATGCATTGCTAATATTTTGGTACCTGCCCAATGACTTCCATGTAACTACTTCTGTACCATCCCTTAATAAACTTAGCATGATCCTGTTAATGCATATCTAAATATTCATCATTTTAATGAACTTTTGGCTTGAAAAGGTCAAGCAAGATTCTCTTGACTTATTGTTATCTGTTTAACTGCTTACTTTTTGCTCCCTATCTAAAAAATGTGGGAACTGGAGACAGAAAGTCTCTGATCTGCTGATATCAGTAGTCTAGAAGAGGAAAGAATATGAAGGGATAGCATCAAAATAGGGAAGGGAAGTGATAATACTGCTTTATACTGCACTAAATACTGTGGTCCAGTTCTAGTCACAATCTAAATAAATGCTGATGCAACTCTGTTTTAGTTTAACGAAAATAAGAATGAGGGAAGACATAATAACAGTGTTCTAAGACATGAAGGGCTGCCACAGAGAAGAGGGTGTTAATTTATTTTCCCCAGCACCTGAGGGTAGGACAAGAAGCAATGGGAGGAAGTTTGTCATGGCGAGATCCAGCCTAGAAATTAAGGAGGAGTTTCTTGACATTGAAAAATGTTAAGAAGTGGAACAACTTGGCTCTCTGAGTTGTTGAGGCTCCATTCTGGAGCTTTCCATTTGTCCAAGATGTTATGAGGGCAAAGGGTTGGGCTAGAAGACCTCGAAGGTCCCTATGATTCAATGATTTAGATTGTCTCCTAGAATTACTTACAACTCTTATGAAAATGCTGATAAATGAACTGTTAAAGGCCAAAGCCATAATAGTCATGAAACATAAGGTAGCAGACTCAGGTGTAAGAGCTGGAGGCATCAAACTAGCTCAAGGCAAAAGTTCCCAGGTTGGGAGAAAAGAACCCAATTTAGGCAAGCTTCCTATTCTAATACCCCAAAGATGTTTTAGTTGTCTCTTGAGTAAATTTCCTTAAGTACCTATATTCCATAAGTTCACCCATGAAAAATGCAATCTCTAAATAAAGAACAAACAACCAGACAGAATGTAATATTTTCCACAACATCTGTCCCTTATGTGCTCTAAAGTGAGCAAGACTATACATTTATTGGTGTTGGATTTTTCTGAAATTTAAGACTTGGAATTTATTTGTTGACATATAATGATTGTTGATTGCTGTACTGTGGGTTATTTTTTAATTGTAGTTTTATGGTATACTTATAATCCTTTTTGTTAAGTTCTCACTAAAAAAAGCAACTTTCTTGCTGATCCTGTCTAAAACAACTTTGTCTCATGGCTTTTTCTCTGTTTGGATGGGCATTGATTATCCCATACCCTGAAACAAGGGACGTGGTGGCTCAATGGCTAAGATGCTGAGCTTGTCGATCAGAAAGATCAGCAGTTTGGCGGTTCGAATCCCTAGTGTCACGTAACAGAGTGATCTCCCTTTACTTGTCCCAGCTTCTGCCAACCTAGCAGTTTAAAAGCATGTAAAAATGCAAGTAGAAAAATAGGGACGACCTTTGGTGATAAGGTAAAAGTTCCGTGCGCCTTCAGCATTTAGTCATGCTGGCCACATGACAGAGCTGGCTCTTGCTTTAAAATGGAGATGAGCACCACCCCCTAGAGTGGGAATGACTAGCACATATGTGCGAGGGGAACCTTTATCTTACCCTGAAACAAGGTAATATTGAAGCCCACTAGGTCCCACGGGAAGCTTGTTTGCTGTCGGACTTATTCACAGAAAACCCTGGTTTTCAGTAATCACTTCAAGTGACAACAGAGAAGAGACATATTGTTAGACCTTAATGTGACAATTGAGGCATCATATCACTGAATGATCCTCCATTTTCCTAGCAGTCTATACTACACTATTCCTGCAGTCTCTTTCTAACACTAGAATATTTTTCTCTCTTCAACCATTTGAGTTTCCTTTCAGTACATAAGCTTTATGTAAGTGGGTACAAATAACAGCATATTTTATTACCTCACTCTCTGTCATTATACAACAATTGTTACCTTTTAAAAGTTGATGGCTTGTTGCTTGGTGAATATATTTCTTCTTATCACCACAACTAGCATTTTTAATAAACGCTCTTTCCCATACTTTAAAAAAATAAAACTGATCTGAATTTTAATTTTTATTATAACTAACAATTTAGTTTAGATATTTTTTCATGCTCATATCTCTCTCAACATTCTGAAAAATATGCTGACTCATTCCTGAATCATTAAGTTCCCTTGGAAAACCACACAAATTTTCAATAAATCTAAAGGAACAGTATTACAGAAATGTTTGAGAGACTGCAGAAACTTGCAGTAGTTTTGCAATTCATAATTTCATTTAAAGCCTATGATTTAAATTCAATTCAAAAGTCTATATTAATAATTCTTAATTGGGAGGGACAGGTCTTTAAGCTCTTGTGGAAGATCAGGAGGATTGAAGCC